ATAAGCCTGGAGTTTTTTTTAATAATTCTGAGTTTTGCTCCTTAATTTTTTCCCACTCTATCCAGGATTGCCTATTTTGATCCCTTTCCAAGTAGTTGACAGTAGTAGCCAGGTACCATCTAGTTCTGGTGTCAAGGTCATGTAGGCTGAAGATTGCGTGATCTACTAGTCCCTTGAAGTAATTGTTTCCATGTATGTTTGATTTTCTTCATTTGTCTTTACTTTGGATGAGGAGAGATCAGTGGTTGCACATTAGATGGCTTGTCTCAAGTGTTTGTATTTTATGCCAGTTGAGCTTGATATCCCCCATTACTGAATACTGAAAATACCACAGACTGCCAGAAGAACAAACAAATCTGTCCTGGAGGAAGTACAGCTGGAATGCTCCTTGAAGTGAGGATGGCAAGACTTTGTCTTACCTACTTTGGTCATGTTGTCAGAAGGGACCATTCCCTGGAGAAGGATGTCATGCTTGGTAAAGTAGAACATCAGTGAAAAAGGGGAAGACCCTTTTGGATTGACACAGTGGCTGCAACGATGGGCTCAAGCATAGCAAGGATTGTGAGGATGGTACATGGACCAGGCAGTGTTTTGTTCTATTGTACATGGGGTCGCTAGGAGTTGGAACCATCTTGACAGCACCTAACAACATATTCCAGTATCTAGATCACTTGTGGGTGTCCTGCTTTAGTGTCTTTTTCCTCTTGGTTTGATGATATGGTGCTTTATCTTTGTGTAGTAATCTCTGGAAGCTGGATGCATCAAACCCAAACCCACTGCAATTGAGTCAATTCCAAGTAATAGTGAGACCCCCATAGGTTTTCTAAGGCTATGAATTTTTATGGAAGCAGACTGCCTTGTCTTTCTCCCATGGAGCTGCTGGTGGGTTTGAAACATTGACCTTTTGGTTAGCAGCCCAGTTGCCTTAATAACAGTACCAACAGAGCTCCTTTGAAAGCCAGATAGTGTGTATAAGAAACTCTATAAAGTATTCAGGTGCTCTTGAGAAGGTTCAGTCTTTCCTTTAATAGAGTTGACAGAGGTGGGTTTGGTAAACTTATTTAAGCCTAGGGTAGCCCTCAGGGTCAACTGAAATTCTTCAGGTCACTTTTGAAAGGTTCTTTCCCATAAGAAATTTTACTCCCATTTTTGTCCTCCTTGCTTTTACAGCTCTTCATGCTTTTAAGTATGTGCTTTTTATAACTCAGCTTTTTAGTAGAAGTATTGGCTTGCCATACTGCTGCTATGCATTACTTAGAATTGGTATTTTTCCCACCAAATACATATCTTTTGAGCAGAATAGCAGAGGATTAGGGAGGTTAGGAATGTTAAATAGTATTAGGAAATCTGTTGATGGTTTCTAATATTGATTAAGGGGGAGAGAGAAGGAGGACAAGAGGACAGGTAGTAAACCCAGGTTACAAATGCCTGATACTTCACTAGTGGCTACTTCTCTCTGCAGTAGTGAGAAATTGCAAAAGCAGCATGAAAATGGCATCCTCTGACTTCCTCCAGCCTCCAGCTTCATCCACCATCAGCAGCCCAAGGCTTATTCCTATGAGGCCAGACATGCAACACCCTCCAACCTTTTTACTAACTCTGACACCAACCATTCCTACCATGGCATTCACTGCTTCTCTACTGGGTTCGATAATTCATGGCAGTGGCCATACACAGACAATACTCACAAGTATGGGATTTATTAGGGAAGTAACAGGCTACAACTGAGGTTCACAAACTCTCTCAGGATATAATTCTCTGATCAGGACAGTCTCCCCCTTGCTGTGCCCTCAGGCATGCCTCTCTGGGCCTTGGCCTCTCAGCCTGGCCTCTGCTCCTCCTGCCCAGAGGCACTCAGTCTCCTCACTCTGTGGTCAGGTAAGCCTACCACTCTGTCTTGTGCCTCTTGGTTCCCCTGCAACTGCCACTCAGCCAGGTTTGTCTGCTGGGTGTCTCTGCCAAGCAGGTCCATTGCAGGGATCTCAGGTCCAAGGGTGTGTTCCACTCCATTTCCAGCTCTTCTTTCGTGATAGCAGTGAGATCCCCTTCTATGCTTTTAGAAGGGCTCATTTTAAGCCCAGCAGCATGACAAAACTAACCAGTCTTCACATTAGAATTCCACCCATCTTATTTGGATGGTCTTACCCACTGATCTGGTAGGAGTCACAAAGACCATGGCTAAAAAAGCCATACCAAGTCATTCACTAATAAGGAAGATGAAATAAGAGTGTTGATGCTTTCAAGTTGTCGTGTTAGTGAAAACTACTGAAAAAACCACGGACTGCTGAAAGAAGTAACAAATCTGTCCGGGAAGCAGTGCAGCTGGCATGCTCCTTGGAAGTGAGAATAGCCAGACTTCGTCTCACCTACTTTGGTCATGTTGTCAGAGGGACCATTCTCTGGAGAAGGATATCATGCTTGATTAAGTGGAAGGTCAATGAAAAAGGGGAAGTTCCTTAACGGGATGGACTGTAACAGTGGCCGTAGCAGTGGGCTCACTTATGGCAAGGACTGTGAGGCTGGCACAGGACCGGGCAGTGTTAAGTTCTTTTGTACATAAGGTTGCTGTGAGTTGGAGACAACTCAACAGCACCTAATAACCAACAAGTAATTCACTGCACCACAGAAATGAATGCATGGAAGACAAAGCCAACATAGTGCATACTAACAGCTTAGGCAAGGAAAGACCAATTCAGGAAGAGCAAGCCATCCACAAGAAGAAATCCCAAGTGTTTGGTCCTTAGCAAAGAACAGAGCTAATATGTTGTTAGTTGCAGATGAGACAATTCTGACTCATAATGGTCCCATGTGTGCAGAGTAGAGCTGCTCTCTAGGGTTGTCAGGGCTATGACCTTTTAGAAATATCACCAGACCTGTCTTCTGAGGTGCATCTGGCTGGGTTCAAATCTCCAACTTTTCAGCTAGTAGTTTAGTGTTTAGCCATAGAACTAGCATTTTTCAAATGTTGTCTCTTCTATATAATTCATGCTAAGCGAGGAAAATTCGTTGATCTGTACTGTATTTGGAAAAATGTCAGTTTGTGTATGGGCTGTCCTATTTTAAGATTATCTAGTTTTTTGGTGGTAAAATGTTAAAATATCCTTACTTTTATTAATTGATTGGTGGTAGTAGATGATCTATCTTGTTTAGTGTATATTTATAAATTGACACATCTATGTCAGTTCCCCTGACATAGATGTGTCAATTTATAAATATACACTAAACAAGATAGATCATGTCAGTTCCCCAAGGAGCTCTGGTAGCATAGTGTCTAAGGCACTTGACTGCTAACCAGAAGGCTGGCGGTTCAAACCCACCAGCCACTCCTCGGAAGGAAGGTTGGGCAATCCTACTTCCGTAGTGATACTGCCTCGGAAACCCAAGGAGGGGTCGCTATGAGTCGGGGCCGACTCGACGGCATATAACAACAACAACAACATGTCAGTTCCCCAGATTCTGTTTCGAGGTTTTTTTCTGGTAGAAGAAATCTAAATGTCTTGGAAATGCAGTTCTCCTTAAAGTCTTTTCAAGTCAAAGGGACTTCCAAATAAGATTGGTCTAGTCCATGGAGAGAATTAGGAGAGAGAAGATTGGGCTCCTTATTCACTGTCCTTCAACATGATCAGGCCATATTACTACTCTTCCTTCTTCTTGGGCTGGAGAAGAGGTAGGAAGGAAAAAGAAATAATCTGAAAGTTTCCTTAAATAATAGCAGTAGTGAAAGAAATGGAAAAGTTACTTGGTGAGGATGACAGTGATTGCAGTGTTAGATTTATTGAGTCAAAGAGAATGGGACATCCAAGTTCAAATGTTGAGTAGCATGTTAGTACTTTACAACAAATGGACATTGTGCGACTGACATCAAAGAAGGGGACTCTGCTTTTCAGGAAGTTCATGCCTAATAGTTTAGTCAGTGTTACCATTCTTTATACATTATTGCACCCAAGCATGCAAAATACTGCAAAATAAAATTCAGCTAAGTTTGAGTTTATGGAGACTTAACAAACACATTGTCTTGAGTGAGAAAGTTGCCATAACAATATAGTAAGTACTGATTAGTAATGAAGTAAAGTACATTATTTAATGTTCTTAATTTTAAAACTTTTTTAGAATATGAACACAGACATTACAAACTGCCTTTTTACTGTTCAGAAAAATTGCTTGCTACCCTATCTATATTTTACTTTTTTTTATTTCTTTGGATTTGTGAACAGATCTCCTCCATTTCTTATTTCTTTGCCCTTTATTAGATATACATGGTTTTTGAAAAATAAAGGCATTGATATTTTCTTGTTCCATATTCTCTTATTATTTAAATTCCTGATTTTAGGGCATCTCACTGTTTTAAGATTCTGGCTAGCTAAAATGCTGGCGGTAGTACAGTTGACTTCATCAATTTGTAAATGTACACTTTTTTTAATAATTTATAGCTGTCTTTAAATGGAAGAAAGTCCCTGATATAAAGCTGTTGTCAAAGACTGACTCATTTTGAATAATTCAGAAAACATGATTAAAATGTTTTATTGGGAATGCAGAGTGTTTTTCTCTGAGCATAATTTTTAATTTTCTTGTAGTTGGCTTCATATTGAAGATGGACTTGGTAATATGAAATTTCTCATTTTTAGCAAGTCAAACATTTAAAACATATAACCCATGATAAACTGTTTTCACATTTAAATGAACGTAAATTTGTCTGCTGCAAATTTGAACTTCTGTTCCTCTCCCTTCTTAGCAAGAAAGTGGACTTTCTTTGATAAGTAATTTTTAAACTAGTTTATTTTTATTCCTAGTTCTTTTTTCTTTCTTTTTATTGTAAGTCACAATAGTAATTTCATCTATTGGGTCTTTATTGTTATTATCCATTTGCAAATTGATTAGAAAAATTTGCTTTTGAAATCTGGTCATGTTTTACCTCAGTCATAGTACTTTGTTTTTCTTTTTGTCTGTTCACTCTAACTTACTTGGCTTATAAACGATTGACACTCATATATTGCCTACAGGTGGTTTGACATTGGTTGTTTGATAGTTGAAGATCCTGCCCATGGTGTTCATCTAGAAACATTTACACAAGCCACACCTGTGCCTTTGGAATTTGTACAACAGGTTGGTTTTCTCATTTTCTTTTTCATTGTATTTCTGGAGAAACTTGTAATACTGCTTTCAAAATAAAAATTTGTATTAGACATATTGTTAGAAATACAATACGTTCTTGATTTTGCTTCAGTTTTTCTTTTGTAACCTTTTTCTTTGCTTTTCAACTTCCTATTTTTACCATGTTGTTTTATTAATTTCCTGCTTTTATTTCCCACTCATCTTTGAGGCTATATTACATCATTAGTCAGTATTTTCTTTTGTTTTTATGATTGTGTGTCCTGCCTTTAGATTAGAAGAAGATTTATATCTCTTCTGCTTGCTTTATGCCCACTTGTATTTACTTTCCCATTTATCTTACATTTTATTTCTACTGCTACCTTATCTTTTTCCTTTGACTTTGTCTCTATATTTGTTCATCTTTTTATTTTTTTAATTTTTTATTTTTTATTGTGATTTGGGTGAAGATTTACAGATATATTTGTTCATCTTCAGTAACAAGTCAGCATTAGAAACCTTACGTGATAGGCACATCTTAAGTTTTGTTGACTAAAATAAAATTAATAAATTACATCAACAAAGTTTTTAGAAGTGTAAGCATAAATGAAGATGTTGATTCCTTATATGTTTTTATATAATCTATCTTTCATCACATTTTTACTTTTATATGTTATTAAATGTCATCTTAAAACTACCTGTTAAAGTTGGGTGGGGCTTGTGTGGATTTCCGAGAATCTGATAAAACTTTTGGGCCTGTCCCCCAAAAAATTCAGGTATGTATTTACATTCAAATTTGGCATATGTGCCCACAAAATCCCTGAAAGCCACCTTGTGTACTCTTGGTGGTTTATAATTTTGAAAGGGGGCTAAGAGTTGATCCTGGGAACTCTTGAACCTTTCATGTATGCCATGGTTCATACAACTTATTTTGAGAAATTCAAGAAAACATTTAATAGATAAGAGTTAAACATATTCCAGTATGAAAGTGATTAAAAGATTGTAAGCAAATCCTATACATAATTAATTATTGATACAAAAAAACCTGTTGCCCTCAAGTCATTTCCAACTCATAGTAACCGTATAGGACAGAGTAGAACTCTCTAGGGTTTCCGAGGTTATAAATCTTTACGCCAGCAGACTGCCTCATCTTTATCCTGTGGAGCAGCTGGTTAGCTCAAATCACCAACTGCTAGCAACTGAGTGCTGCTTAACCACTGCACCAGCAGGGCTCCTATTATACTGATAAATTCAATGTAATGTTTGATTTCCTAGGAGAGTGTAAATTGCCAAACTTGACTCAAGAATAAGTATTAGATTGAACCACATAGAACTGCTGTCTTTGAAGGTAAAATATTGTCAAATATTGGCAATTTTGTATGGTTCAATCTAATAAGATTACCTAAATGAAGCATTATAGCCAAAGAAATTCATCTAGCTCCACAAAAGTACTGCCTGCTAGTGGTTTTATAAGTGAGTTCTACCAAATATTCATAGAACAGATGATTTTCATGTTGTATAGAGTATCAAAAATAGAGGTAGGAAGTTTTCTAATTCATT